AAGGAGCCCTTCATCTCTAATTTATTTTTCATTTTCACAACAATGCAGAACGAATGGAAGCAGCGATCTGACATACTATGAATGGGATAGTGGTGAGCGACAGCTGTCACCCCAGAAAGCAGAGAGTGAGACACATCAAACACAAGTCACAAAGAAAGACTGACAATACAAAAAATGAATTTCCTTCAGCTCTAAAAAGTATAGTCTTATTTCTTGAGGTCTCAAAAAGACTTCTTTTCTGAGTTATGAATTTGTCTATTATTCTGTCGTCTCCAATCCTTCCTTCCCCAAGAAAGACAACTGCTAAATTTCTGTTCATAAAAGTTTTTACTTTTTCCAGAAGCAATCCCTTCTTAGGGGTATTTTCAGTTTTCTGCTGGGGAAATGTCCTTTATTGCTCACCGCGTACTTCATCTTCACAGGGTCAGAAGGGCCTCATTGTTGGCAAAAGCCTCAGGTGGACCTTGATGGGCTCTCCCAGAGACGCTTATCTTAAGAGATAAATATACAAATACAACTTGTTCCTCCCCGTCCCGGGACATTACACAGAAAACCAGAGGAGTAGAAATAACCTTGGACTCTGAGTACTGACCTCAAGCCACTCACCTGTATTTATAATCTCTGAAGCACATTTGATGGGCTTTGAGTTTAGAAATGAGAAGCTTGAGAATTTTCAGGAAGATGAAAAAATTGACCTTGGGGGGGGGAAAAAAAAACAAATATAGGTAAGTATGGACTTCAGAGTTGTGAATATCAAGGTCATCTTGGGCTTGACAGTGTTTTCGTTTCATTTTGTTTTGTTTTGCTTTGTGTTTTTTGTTGTTGTTGTTTTGCTTTGTCTTTTTTTTTTTTCTGAGAGAGATATTTTTGCTATAGGGCATTTGCACTTATTGGAGAGACAGACAGAAAGCAAGAAATCAACCCCCAGGGGGAATGGCCACGTGGTAATCCCTTTTCCTCCATTTTCCTCTTGGGATTTTGGGCACACACGCACACATACCTGGCGTGAGTTTCAAGCTGCCACGTCTAGGACTTAAACCATGGTCAGCCAAGTGGGAGTCCAGTGACGTAATGGCTACACTATCTGCTGGCCCCAGTAGAATAATCCTCACCATCTCATAACCCTAGGGAATCCTCACCGTCTCAAAGGTCGTCTGAACGGAAAGTCTGGAAGGAGTTTTGGAAAGTCATTTAGTCTATTCTTCTGTCTCAGGAGGCCTACCACTAAAGTCATCTGTGAAAGGCACATGCATATTACATTATTATTATTATTGACTAATAATTATTGGGTCCTTACATGCCAAGCTTTGAGCTAAGAACTTGCCCTACGTTAGTTTACTTAATCTTCACAAAAACTCACTGAGGTAGCCACAGTTATTTTTACGCCCATAATGCCATGAAGAAATGGAGGCACAGAGGAGGTAAGTGTAATTCCCAACCTTGCAGGTCAGTGACGGAACCAGTGATTGAACCTAGACTTGTCTGATGACAGCCCTCCCTTCACTTACACAGAATGCCACACGGCTTCTCTTCTGTGAAGAACTCTAGTCCTAGACCAGCAGGTGGCATGGTAGTTAGGGTGCTGGACTTCTACCTGGCCAACTGCAGTTCGTGTCCCGGACCTAGCAGCTTGCTTTCTCAATTCCCCCTACTTGGTGAGTGCAAATTTTAAAGTAATAATGATAATGATAAATAAAATTAAGTAAATAATTCTTTTAAAAAAAAGTATAAGAACTCGAGTCTTATTGGCATCTACCTTGAGGCCTTGTTGCTGCCATGGAATTTACATAGCACATGTTCTCTGCTCCCTAGAACACTTTCCACAACTGTCACAAATGAGGCAAATCCAGCCCTCATTGTCAAGCTTGGTAGAAATTGTTAAATATGCCTTCAAATTCCTTGGCACTTCTCCCTTCAAAGGGCAGAGTCTAAGTTCCCCCCCTCTTCTCTGAATGTGAACTCAATTTAGTTATCTGCATCTAATAAAGAGAATTTGGCAGAAGTGATGCTATATGATGTCCGAGCTAGCTACTCAGAAGGTTGCCTCCTACCCCTGGCATTCTCTCTCTCTCTCTCTCTCACCTTGTTTCTCTCTCTCTTCTCTCCTCCTCCCTCAGGGGAAACCAGCCACCATGCTGCCAGGACACTCAAGCAGACTGTAGAAAGACCCACATGGGGAAATTGAGTCCTTTAGCCATCAACCAGCCCCACTCATCAGCCACGTGTGTGAGTCACCTTGGGAGCTAGTCTTCTAGTCCCAGTTGGGTTTTCAGGTGGCTGCCACCCTGGCTGCCACCTTGACTGCAACCTCGAGACGTCCTGAGCCTCTGGACGTACTGAAAGGCAAGCGGTTGAGTGTGGGTAAGGCTTGGAGAATGAGAACAGTATGGTGGAAAGGAAGCCCGGAGAGAAAGGGAGGGCCAGTTCCTGCAGGGTCTTTCATGGTCGTGCTAAGGAGTCTGGGTTTCCTGCAGAGTTCTGGTTTACCTGCTGACAGCAGTGGAGAGCCTGTGATGAATTTTAAGCAAGTGACCTGAACACATTTGCACTTTGGCATTTTGGAAAGGTTATTTTAACAGCAGTGTGGTGAACGGATTGGATAAGAGGAATATCAGAGAAGGCGAGACCAGCAGGAGGTAGTTTCTGAGTTGCTGGGAAAGGATGACGAAGAGGAGAATTCAAGAAGCAGCTCTGGTGCTTCAGCAATGGAGAGGAAGTGACAGATTTGAAATGAAAAAGTTCGAGCCCGATGACCTTTGTCATTACTGGTTAGACGTGAGAACAAAGATGACCCCAACACTTTGTGACAGATCTCAAATGCAGGGCCATTCCAAGGAAGGGACCAGAGAGAGAAGGAAGAGCATTGGGTGGTGGGGGGTGGAGGCAGATGAGGGGTCCAGTAGTTTGGAACACAAGTGATGTCCCAAGGCCTTAGATATTTATGTCTGCACCTCTGCAGAGAGGCCCCCACCAGAGCATGAAGCCAGCAGAGTGGGCAAGAGTATCGAAGGAGACTACAGAGATGGGAGAAAAAAGGGGTTAAGAGAACCACTGTGCAGTGAAGGGCAAAGTAGAGGAAGTGGAGACAGCAAAGTCTATTACTAAAGAAAGCTAGGGCAGCTCTAAGAACCTCAGAGAAGTGGCATCCTGGCAGTTCACGAAGGGAAGAATTCTAAGAAGGTCTAAGTGCTGCATAGACTTGAAGCAAACCACGAGGGCATTTAGCAAATGGGAGCTCACTAAGAGAAGCTGCAGTGCACAGGTGGGAGCTGGGCTGCTTTGTTTTGTGAATGAGATGAGAAGAGGAGAGACAAAGAGAAGAGACCCAAAGCTTGAGGAAGAGGGAGTAGAGTGATAGAACAGCAATTGATATAGGACAGAGATGATCTCTCATTTGCAGGGCTGGAAGACGTTTCAGGTTGCAATTGTTTTCAAGATTGAAAAAATAATGCCTCTGTGTAATAGAAAAAGAGTCCACAGGGGGGCCAGCAGTTAGTGTAATGGCTACGTCACTGGACACCCACGTAGTCAACCGCGGTTCACATCCTGGACCCGGTGACTTAAAACTCATGCTGGGTGTGTGTGCGTGTGTGCCCAAGATCCTGAGAGGAGAATGGAAAAGAGATTGTGGCATGGCCATCCCCCTGGGGGGTGATTTTTTGCTTTCTGTCTCTCTGTCTCTCTGTCCGTGAGCGCATGCGCCCTATAGCAAAAACCTCTTAAAAAAAGAAAAAGAGGGAACCAGCAGTTAGCGTAATGGCTTTGTCACTGGATTCCCACGTAGTCGACCATGGTTCACGTCCCAGACCCAGTGGCTTAGAACTCACGCCAGGCACATGTGCGTGCATGCCCAAGATCCCGAGAGGAGAATGGAGGAGAAGGGATTGCGGCGTGACTATCCCCCCTGGGAGGTGATTTCTGTCTCTATGTCTCTCTCTGGCTGGCTGGCTAGCACACGCGCCCGATAGCAAAAACCTCTCAAAAAAAAAAAAAAAAAAAAAAAAAAAAAAAAAAGTCC